CAATTCACAAACTTTCCAAAGTTCGATCATTTAACCTCTTTGATCAATCCATATGCTTTTTCTATATTGCATTGTTATCATTTTTACTATGCAGTATACAATTGAAATAAAATCAGTTACATTTTTGGTCGAAATATACTTTCTGCACATGCAAAGCAAAAAATAATGCAATACAGCTTGGCGAATCAAATTCTGACCTCCTCACACCAGCTTCTTCATTTCTTCCCTTTTTCATTAAATAAATATTAACCTGTTCTCTCAATCCATATTATATGGTTTTTCATAAAGCTCATGCTGACACGAGACTGCATGACATCCAACCTCTTGCTACTTTGAGGATTGTCAGAGTGACGCACCAAATCAGAAAATCAGAAAAACAAATGTATGCAATATGTATTTACACTATATAACAGATTCATTTTACAAAGAATTCAAATGAACCAACTGCCCAACTGCATAAGCGAAACAAACATTCAAATGACACATTTGGTTACAAAAAAAACATACAAACAGAAACATTTATGGCTTATATGGAATGGGATTCTTGCTAAATGATCTTCACAGAATGTCTCGAGGTTGTTCCTTAACAAACACCTAGTTTCCTTTAAACAATCAAGTGTTTTTGGTGGCAGCAGTGCCGTTGACGAAAGAGCACAACCACAAAATGCTTTTCTCAAAGTATTCAGTCATCCCTGATGTGTAAGCTTGCTTGTTAGGTATTAAGATTTCACAAACTTTGTTGATAAATTTAACCATACATTAACTGCTATCTCTGAACACAGACATTCAAGTCACCTGCACTTACATATAAATCAAGAACATGGCTTAAAAGACACCCTTATAATTAGGCAAGAAAATAAATAGTAAATCGCCACAAAAATAAAAAAAAGTCAAATTCACAAATGGCTTTTTGTTTTTTATAAACATGTTTTCCTTCTTGCTATAAAACAGAAAAATGTAAACAGTATGAAATGAACAACAATTACAAAACCCTGAACAAATATTAACTCAAAAATGGACAAGCAAAACAAGGTCTGAGTGGTGTTCCTATGTAAGTGTGTTTTTTAGACCATGTCAGTCCCTTCGTCTCCTATCTCTGAAGTGGGTGACAAGGCCTTTTGTTGGACACCTATTTAGGAGGCAGAGGGTTGTCTGGGGTGGTTGGGGTCAAGACTTCTTTGTAAAAGTTCTCAATCTGTTCTTTGTACATCTTCATGACCACTGGCCTCTTGAGCTTCATCGTGGGACCTGTGAGAGAGAGTTTAAAAACAAGGTCTGAGTGGTGTTCCTATGTAAGTGTGTTTTTTAGACCATGTCAGTCCCTTCGTCTCCTATCTCTGAAGTGGGTGACAAGGCCTTTTGTTGGACACCTATTTAGGAGGCAGAGGGTTGTCTGGGGTGGTTGGGGTCAAGACTTCTTTGTAAAAGTTCTCAATCTGTTCTTTGTACATCTTCATGACCACTGGCCTCTTGAGCTTCATCGTGGGACCTGTGAGAGAGAGTTTAAAACAGCTAAACAAACAGCCTCTATAGACTTTAATCAACATAAAAGCCTTACTCACAAAAGCCTTAAATAACACACAAAAAGTTAATTACTAGGAAACGTACCCAGCTCTCCGCCAGGGATAGAGAAATCCTTCTCCAAAACGGTCCATTTCTGGATGCGCTGGGCGTTCGAGGTGGCTTTCTCGTTGACGCGGTTGATGCCTTCTTGAATAGCCGCGTATACGACTCGGTCACGGCCACTGGCGATCTCGCTGACTCGCGTGGAGTTGCTGCCGAGTTTACGACACAACTCCACCGCCTCAGGAGTCAGTTCGTCTTCGGGAGTGCCCGTTTCGTTGTTTACCTGACACTGAGAGCAAAAACAGAAGAGCCATAAGCATTTTCTAACGGTAAGTTATGTATATTGGATTAAATATAAATACGTCTTTTATTAAAACATTTCCCCGTCAATATGTAACGTTAAATCCAGTTTAAGTCTGAGTGTGGAATCATGGGAGTTGTCGTCTTCATCCCCACAGCCGATGCAATCCGATGGGACTCGGTCAGAAATCATGTTCATGGATGAGCTAATGATTTATTAACGTCGTAGAATGAAGCAGGGTGAGGCTGAAAGCCGTCGAAGCGAAACGAGACCACTGAACGAGCGTGACACACGGCTCGAAAGCAGCGGAGCTTTTATTATGCCACAGTCAACCGCTTCCGTTCCTTCCGGTCGTGCGTATGTGGGGAAAAAAGCAGCGCTGTTTTATCATACTAGATACATTTGAAAGTTCTGTTATTATGCTACTCTGTGCGGTCGTCACCTGTCTAATAAAACGCACAACATATTAAAGCGTCTTTGGTGTTTCCATGTTTTCTACAAAACCGGAAATCGCGGGGTTATGACGTCATTAGCAGGCGACACAATGCCACTATGGACACGCTCCGTGTCACTAGTTAAAATTGCTTATTTCTCTGGATTTAAACATTCTTCCAAACATTTGGGATAATGTAAGTACACAAGTCAGCAAAATATATAACACTGTTCTAGTGGTTTTTGGATATTTTAATAAAAAAAATCTTACATATTGAGCCTTTATCGTGTTCCGACGGCTTTTAATCAGGTGTTCCGAATACGTGCTAACAAGGTCTGAGTGGTGTTCCTATGTAAGTGTGTTTTTTAGACCATGTCAGTCCCTTCGTCTCCTATCTCTGAAGTGGGTGACAAGGCCTTTTGTTGGACACCTATTTAGGAGGCAGAGGGTTGTCTGGGGTGGTTGGGGTCAAGACTTCTTTGTAAATGTTCTCAATCTGGTCTTTGCACATCTTCATGACCACTGGCCTCTTGAGCTTCATCGTGGGACCTGTGAGAGAGAGTTTAAAACAGCTAAACAAACAGCCTCTATAGACTTTAATCAACATAAAAGCCTTACTCACAAAAGCCTTAAATAACACACAAAAAGTTAATTACTAGGAAACGTACCCAGCTCTCCGCCAGGGATAGAGAAATCCTTCTCCAAAACGGTCCATTTCTGGATGCGCTGGGCGTTCGAGGTGGCTTTCTCGTTGACGCGGTTGATGCCTTCTTGAATAGCCGCGTATACGACTCGGTCACGGCCACTGGCGATCTCGCTGACTCGCGTGGAGTTGCTGCCGAGTTTACGACACAACTCCACCGCCTCAGGAGTCAGTTCGTCTTCGGGAGTGCCCGTTTCGTTGTTTACCTGACACTGAGAGCAAAAACAGAAGAGCCATAAGCATTTTCTAACGGTAAGTTATGTATATTGGATTAAATATAAATACGTCTTTTATTAAAACATTTCCCCGTCAATATGTAACGTTAAATCCAGTTTAAGTCTGAGTGTGGAATCATGGGAGTTGTCGTCTTCCCCCCCACAGCCGATGCAATCCGATGGGACTCGGTCAGAAATCATGTTCATGGATGAGCTAATGATTTATTAACGTCGTAGAATGAAGCAGGGTGAGGCTGAAAGCCGTCGAAGCGAAACGAGACCACTGAACGAGCGTGACACACGGCTCGAAAGCAGCGGAGCTTTTATTATGCCACAGTCGACCGCTTCCGTTCCTTCCGGTCGTGCGTATGTGGGGAAAAAAGCAGCGCTGTTTTATCATACTAGATACATTTGAAAGTTCTGTTATTATGCTACTCTGTGCGGTCGTCACCTGTCTAATAAAACGCACAACATATTAAAGCGTCTTTGGTGTTTCCATGTTTTCTACAAAACCGGAAATCGCGGGGTTATGACGTCATTAGCAGGCGACACAATGCCACTATGGACACGCTCCGTGTCACTAGTTAAAATTGCTTATTTCTCTGGATTTAAACATTCTTCCAAACATTTGGGATAATGTAAGTACACAAGTCAGCAAAATATATAACACTGTTCTAGTGGTTTTTGGATATTTTAATAAAAAAAATCTTACATATTGAGCCTTTATCGTGTTCCGACGGCTTTTAATCAGGTGTTCCGAATACGTGCTATGCAGTTGCTAGGGTTTCTCTTAATTTGGTCTCTAGAAATGATGCGGTTCCCTCATTTTACCGTTTTTTTATTGTCCACTGCGTAAAAACTGTAAATCCAGTGTCTTAGAGAAGTAATATCACATGTACTCAACAAATTACACCATTTTTGAATCATTATTCATATCAGAATACAATGGTACGGGACAAGTTACACACCTAAGGAAATATTATATGAGCAACATTAAATATTTATTAAGTATATATTATAATAATAGTGCTCACTTGCCTTAGCAAACGCCACTAATTAGTTAAATCTTTCAATTTATAAACGGATTTTTTAAAAGTATTGTTGGTTGCCACTAGGGGGCGCAGTGATGCCGAGAAAAACCGCAGAACATGTAGTTACACTCTTTGTCCACTAGTTAGCAGCGGCTTTACGTTTATGAACGCTGTTTGATAACACTTAAAACATTTATCACTTGATCATACTGATATGATCTCATTAGCGTGTAGTAAAAATGTACTCATGCATCTTTAAAATGAGTGTTATCTCTCAGTAAACTTACATAACCCAACTCTCTTTGTGTAAGAGCCCTTGGATGAGATGTTCTGATTAGATTTACAGCATTCACGTTCAGGAGAGTATGACATCGGCCAGGATTACACAAGGTGGCCATTAAAAATGAATCAATAATTTTTTTAGTCATGAACTATGTTTAACAATGTTTCCTAAGCAGGCACAATGCAACAAGAGGTTTGTCTTAGTTATCGGAGGAAAAATCACCGCTGATGAGATTTTGGTGAAAAAGAGTCACTTAGCACTAGGCCACAGAAATATAAATCAAACATGACACTCGTCAGTCATGGTTGGTTAAGAAAGAAGCTCAGATGTGTGGATAAGATCACTTGTTGCTCTATCACATTGTACCTGGTTAGGTTAATAGTGGACAACCTTAACACAGAGGTTTATATTGTGGTCATCTGCCCTGTACTGATACCTTAACGGTGAGCAGCATGGAGAGGAACTTTCTCTTGTCTCCGATAAGCATGGCATTGCTGATGAGCGGAACGGCCTCTTTAACAGCATCCTCAATGGGCACTGGGGGAATATTTTCACCTCCGGCTGTGATGATCAGTTCTGGGATACAAACATAAACTTCATTACATGCACCAGACTAAATCACATTGAAATCTGTGTACTAGTGAAATTATAAACTGCTCAGTGGTTTCAGTTCCAGTGAATAAGAGGAAGTACAAATCTGTTTTTGATTGATGGTCATTACCTTTAATGCGTCCGGTGATAAACAGGAAGTCATCCTGGTCGTGTTTTCCGAGGTCACCCGAGTGCAGCCAGCCATCTGCATCCAGAGCCTCTTCGGTTTTATCGGGCATATTCAAGTAGCCCATGAACACATGACGGCCCCAGAAACAAATCTCTCCATTGCCATCGGCATCCGGGTTGAAGATCTTCGTCTTGCAGCCTGAAATTACCTTTCCACAGCTGAGAAAGAGATGCAAGTGAGAAATAAACTAGAAGTTCAAGCTGAAGTGAGTAAACTAGCTTTAAACAAATGAAGGTTTCAGTACCTGGTGAGTCTGAAGGCATCGGGCAGTGAGATGGTGTGCGGTCCAGAGCTCTCACTCATGCCATAGAGCTCAAACAGAGGAATGTCCAGACTGAGGAAAAACTCCAGCGTGTCTTTGGTTATGGGAGCTGCTCCCGTGTAGCACCTCGTACAGCGATCCAGCCCCAGCGCCTTCCGAACCTTCCGGAACACCAGACGCTTCGCCAGTCGATAGTTTAATGGCTTTCTGGACAGGCTGCCATTACTGAGGACACAAGACCATCTCTCTTTATTAAAACAGCCTACAATTTATACTAACATTATTTCATGTTATAACATTTCACTAAGTGATGTATCAATATTCATAACTAATCTGATTTTTTAATTTAATATCGAATTTAATTTATCGAATTTAATATAATTTTCGATTTAAATCAATATTAGCAGAATAAAAGTTTGTTTTAAAAGTTAAAAGTCTTTAATTTATTAGTATTTATTATTTAGGAATGAACTCTGACATCACAAATATTCTAAATATAATAAATATTTTACTTTTATAAAGTAGTATAGGAATGTTTTTTTTAATGATTTAAATCATTAACATTTTTTAAATGTTTCAAATTTCTAAAACGAGATTCAGAATAGATAAATTAAGAAGCCGTATTTTACTTTTTTGTAACATTGTATTTTTCCCCACTTAAGTCGACTTGCCTAGACCACTTTATTTTGCATTTCTCTAATTTATATATATATATATATATTTAAATTCTAATAATATTATCAACATAACAGTTTGGGAAGAAAGAAATCTAACTTCACAAGTATTTTTAATATAAATAAAAATTTTATTTGAATAATTTTTTTTATTTCTTAATTTTAAATGTTTCAAGTTTCTAAAAACTGGTTTAAACCAGATTTTGAATCCCAGATTTTCAGTGTGGTCTCAGACTTTTTGGATCTAACTATATAAGTGAAATAAATTGCAGACAGTTAAAAATGAGTGTCATATGTTCATGACTGACAGTCATGTTTGTGTCTAAATGTTTCTACCTTGTTTTGTGTCTGTGTGTGTGTACATACAGGTCCATTTTGTTGAGGTTGGTCTGCAGGCCCACGTCTTTGGCCCAGGACGCCACCTTCTGGCGCACGGTGGACGATTTGGCTCCAATTGACTTCATCTTTTCCTGCATCTTCTCCCACACCCGCGGGACACCCATGAACGCGGTAGGGCGTATCTCTCGTAGAGTGTTAGCCAAAGAACCCTGGAACATACAGTGCCTTCTATTAATACGCATGTAAGCAGTCTCAGCATGGTTTGCCAAAGTTCGTGTTCACGTGTATATGCCAACATCAGCTGACACACCACCCAGGGTTGTATCAGGTGACACAAGCAGGTATGTCATATCAGTTTCTGTCCCTGTGATGCTAAATCAATGACTATTATAAAACAGCACTGTAGCGCTACATTGAAACCCACAGATTGAGGCAGTAGATATCACATGCTCAGCTTCTTCAGATCACAGGACATTCATCATACACCCGTTTTAATATAATATCAGCAGATCTGCATACAGCTTTGGCTTGTTTTCTGAAAATGAAACACTTCACAAAAGCCTTTCTTTGTGAGTGAGCTGCATGACTAAGGCTTACGTTTCATCAAAAGACAGTGAAAAATCTAAAGAGATTCTACAGTTGGTTTAAACTGACAAGATTTAGTCTTTAGAAGGACCTTCATTTACATACACAAAACAGAGAGATTAGGGAGGAAAACAGGAAGTGACTTCACGAATATGTACACTAGACCTTTTCATGTTTTTGAAAGAAGTCTTTTATGCTCACCAAGGCTGCATTTATTTGATCAAAAGCACAGTAAAAATAGTCTGATCTGAGTGTATTTAGAAAAGGTTCTAGATAGGTCCTTCACTCTCATTACCTGCAAGATCTTCTGAAGCTGTTTGTGGTTTTCCACCACAAGGATGTTGGCCTGGCAGTTCTCTGCCACATACTGGCACGCCTCGGGTGAGTTGGTGGTGTAGATGCCCACAGCAAACCCCCTGCCAACGGCATGCAGAATCCCTCAATAAACATCCTTAAGTCTGTTAAAACTGTAACCAAAACGGCGAGCAGTTCTACAACAGGAAACGACTTCAAACATTAACAACATTCCCACCATTCTGACTCCACCTATATGTTTACCAATCCAGACTACGTGATGCTGTTTAACAAGTGCAGGTTGTGCTTTAACCATCTGTCTTTACTAAAGTGATAAAGGCAGCAGGACAGTTTATGGCACCACAGAGCCACTATTTGATGAAAAAGATTTAAGCTTTGTTTGGGACAGGCCCGGCTCCAGAATCAAATCATTGAGGGTGCTTCTTAAATTAGCGAGGGTGCTGTAACTAATATATATATATATATAGGCGTCCGTATGGTGCAAAGAGCGCTCTGTTCATAATCACTAAAAAGCTGTTATTCATCTCAGTTCATCGCAATCTCACAAAGATACGTTATTATCAATAAAGTTCTCTATGCTGCACAACGCATCAACACTTTGTTATAATGAGATGATTCATGCTGAACACATACCAGAACAAAAACTCTGGTGATTTCAGCGATGAGTGAATTCTAACTTAAACGCCTCTGATTTAACATTGCTCAATGTTGCAAAAACACACTGACATAAGAATCGATCTCCAGAGCGCAAACCATCACACACTGGAAAGTATTCAAAAAAATGCCATTAATACAGCTTTAACTGAGTGTGCTTTTGATTTCTAGCACCCCCGTAGAACCGGGCCTGGTTTGGGACAAACACAGGCTGTGTTCTGATCATGAGTTATGACAGCAGAATGCATGTATGTTTATGGTTGATTTGAAGACTCATAAAAAGGACAGAGTGTAAAACATCCTAACAATAAACACTTACCCAGCTAAAATAGCCCCAATGTCAGCAATAAACCACTCGACCGAGTTAAACCCGAGGATTCCGACGCCGTGGTACCGCTCCAGACCAAGCTGCAAACATATACAAACAGTTAGCATGTGTACATTAACATTTCAAACCAAAATTTCAAATCGCAGGCCCGATTCGAAGCATAATATATATTGTTTGCATGTAAAAGATGAAGTTGTTTAAGTCATCACTCATAAGCATTCCCAGAAGTCCCACATGGCAATTTATTTACATGTTCTTTTTTGCAGTTAAATAAATGTTCAGTTAAATACTGCCATTTATCTCGGTTTAAGTTCACTAGTTCATTAACTCCAAAATATCATCCAATTCTTAAAGTTTTGCAAGAAGACTTGGAGATAAACAATTTGTGAAGCAGTTTAGTAAAAAGACTGTTTAAAATAATTATTCTTTTGTGAACAGACTTTAAAAAAAAAATTTTTATGGACGAACGTGCCAAGCTGCATCATATTTAAAAATTTAAGTCACATCAGCCAAAATACCCGGTTTAAGTTCACTAGTTCATTAACTCCAAAATATCATCCAATTCTTAAAGTTTTGCAAGAAGACTTGGAGATAAACAATTTGTGAAGCAGTTTAGTAAAAAGACTGTTTAAAATAATTATTCTTTTGTGAACAGACTTTAAAAAAATTTTTTTTTATGGACGAACGTGCCAAGCTGCATCATATTTAAAAATTTAAGTCACATCAGCCAAAATACTGAACGCATGTTGTGTCATCTAACACCTCTTTCGTGATGTCTTTCTTTTGTGTTTATGCTGCCTAGGGTATACACAACTCTATCTGAACCGCTCCCACAGGGTTTGAGTCGGACAAGTTACACTCCTTTTTAATTTCTCCCTAAACAAAACCATGGAAATCTGCCCACATTGGCCACCAGGCATGACGTCCTGTTCCCCACAGGGAGAACGTGACCAGTTGGGAGTTGAACTTCATCCCTAGACTAGGAAATGGAAAAACTGAAGACGAAAAACAAAAGCCTCCCGCTGGAGAGAGAAACTATTCTCAGGTACTGTGGCCAAATATGTTCAAGCTGCAAAACTGAGGGACTAAAATCGGTCTCTGACTGGGTTGTGCACAATTCAAAAACATTGAATGTGAACATAAATAAACATAATTTTCATTAACATAATGGAAAGGAATTAAAATGGCAAAAAAATTATTATTTTTCTTTATTCAAAATATTTCTTATTTCTGTCTTTGGAAATTGTGGTGAAATAGGACCAGGACTCATTCCAGATGCCTTATCACACAGTGCACTTATTGCTGGCACTTTCTCCCTGAGGTAACCTGAGGTCAAATGCTTTATTCAAGGACACAACAGTGATTGCATGAGGTCTGTCTGTGATCTCAATAACAGTTACATCAGTTTATGTGTGTTTATTAGGTTTTAAGTGCGTGTTATCAGGTATCTCTGACATAAAAACGTTCCTTGTATCAGGAACATTACCGAGTCATTTTAGATAAGACTGTAATGCTAAACAGCCATAATCTCAACAGCAAGAAGATAATGAAAATTACTAGTTACTCAACTGCTAAACAATAGAAAGCCATGGGTCAAATCTGTTACCTAGGTGCTAGACTCAAAACTCAGCCTGTTAATGCTTCTCACCTTTAGTATGTTTGCCAACTGTATTACAATTAGGGCTGAACAATATGGCCCAATGGGCCGGGATCAGTGTGAAAAAGTTTTAGGCTAGTTGCCAGTCTGTCACAATTGGTTCTGAGTGATCAGTGAACACTGATGTGATTTTTGCTGGTTTACATGTCAGTCTAACTGGCTATGAGATTTTGTTAAAATAGTATGTAGTATAAAAAAACCTGATTTAACAGTCCTCACCTTGAGGAAGCTCTTGGCAGCAGTGCGGCAAGACTTGTAGTACTCGTTATATGTCATGGTTTTCCACTGCTCTCCATCTTTCCAGCCCAGCGCGTTGTAGTTGCCAAAGCGCTGCACTGTAGAAGTGAACATCTGGTTCACAGTCAAGGAGGGTTCAGCCTCAGGGCCGGACTCACCCATCCTGAGCTTCACCTCTCCATCCCTGTGTGTAGTCCAGAGCTCTGTGCCCTTAGCGGGCAGGGAGAGCGAGTCGGGACGAGGGGTGGCACCTACAAAGGGAACAGCCATTTATTGCCATTAATAACTATTTATTTTACACAGTGTTGTCCAACTATCATTTAATCCCACAATTGTAACCAGACAACCCCTATAAAACAGTGCTGTATGAGTAACATGGTACAGTTATGGTATCAGGTAGTACTTTGAGATACAACAAAACGCTGAATAATTAACACAAACTATTATATTCAAAGAGCAACACCGTAAAACTTTATTGTTAGTGAAATCTGTTCTAGTATCTATGTTGTGTGTTTCTGTGCAGTTTCTAAAGTGTCTGTGTGGTCTTTTCGTTTGCACAGACGATAAAGAATTTCTGCTGCAGCGTTTGTTTTAAATCAAATGTTTTAGTGACACACTATCAGGACATTTACTTGCACACACTTTCACCCCATTCATCACTAGAATCTAGTATACACACACTAGCACAGAGTTTCTGATGAGGCTTCAAAAGCAGAGCACATATCAGTATGCAAACTCTTTCAGAAAGTGAAACCTTATTTTATTGGGAACAGCACAACTGTTTTGCGAACAGTTCAAATTTAGGCGAAGTGTGTCATTTTTTCACTAGAAAACAAAAATGTAATCTGTTTATTTCACCAGTTGCAAGGGTTTATGGCAGGAATACTTGCTTGAAAACAATTCTTGCTTTGGCTGCTAATGGAGCAGAAATGACAAACTTCACATTAAAAAACTAAAATAGTTGAAGAAAATAATATTAACAGGAATTTATCTTGACTGATTTTGCAGCTGTGCATGAAAGGGGAAGAAAGCCACCCTAAGAACTGTACAACGTCCTGTGCAGCGTCAGTCTGATAAACTTATAACTATATGCGGACTTCTGCAAAACCGTTTGAAATGAAAAACAAAGCCATCACAGCAGCTTGACCTGTAATCCAAGGTCATGTGACTTGACCTTATTCAAAGCTCTGTTATCTTATGTAAACATGACAGACAACAGCAGAGCGATGGAACTTCTGGAAGTTCACACATGGGTTGTTTTTAAATTGCTCTGCAACTGTTTAACTCATATGTGACTGTAAAATTCCTATTAAAACGCTGTCATCCTGCTGCGCGTCTAAAGGAAAGGGAAGTTAGTTTGCATAGGGACAGCAGCTTCCTTTTTAGACACTTCCTCTACTGAGCACTCAAAGGCCCTACTGATCTCAAGTTCTCGAAAAGTTGACGTTACATAAAGAGTTTTCATGATGAAAACACTGAGGAACATTGAGCTGCGAGTTGTGGGTTGGTGCTCTGGCCAGCTTTCCATCGCTCTTTATCAGTGTAGTGCAGAACTGAATGCACACAATGGTGGTTTTGGGGCCTCAAAAAGATGTATATGGCATGTGTTCAAAATGGCGGCTATGGTCATATGTGTGTATGATCGAGAGTAAGCGAGTATGTTTGTTTGTAAGACAGTGAGAACGTGTTCTAGACTTTTCACCCAAGTGTTTGTGAGTTTAAAGTGATTTGCGAGTGTTTGTAAAGCAGCAAGAGTGTGTGATCTCACCTGATTCTGTGTGCATGCTCTGTTGGGCTTTGGTATTTGATTGCTCTGTTCTGGCACATGCCGATTCCTCCTCCGATGACTCACTGTGAGGAAATCAGGAAATCAAATAATAACTTTTCCAGACAAGCACAATTCTGGAGTTTAAATAGTTTCATCTCTCTCTCAGACAGCCATGAGTATCACCTTACATTATTCTGTGAGCTTCAGATCAAATCAGTGCTAATGTCTTTCACCATAGTGCAAAACTTGTGGTCTTTTATTCATACAAGGCTTGATTTGCCTTGCAGTGAAGTCACATGACACAGTTGTTTGTCTATGTGAATGTCAATGTTATCAGTGCTTTTAAAATGAAGTCTTAAGATGTACTGTATATAATACAGTCTGACATATACTAATGTTCAAAAGTTTGGGGTTAGTGATTTTTGTTTTTGGAAAGAAATTAATACTTTTATTCAGCAAGAATGCATTAATTTGATCAAAAGTGACAGTAAAGAAATGTTTAATGTTACAAAAATCTTTCAAATAAATACTGTAATATAAAAACATTATTACAGTTTCCACAAACATATTAAGAAGCACAACTGTTTCCAACACTGATAATAATTAAGTTTCTTGAGCACCAAATCAGCATTTTAGAATGTGACACTGGAGTCATGGCTGCTTAAAATTCAGCTTTGCCATCACAGGAAAAATTATATATATATATATATATATATATATATATATATATATATATA